GGACAGTGGAGAGGGGGTGGTGGGAGGTTAAAAGGGGTGTGTGGAATGCTCCACCGAGATAACTATTTAATATAGGAGAATGTGTGTGTGTGTGTATGTGTGTGTGTGCACGTGAGCGTGTGTTGTAATAGGTTTTTTAAATACTACTTTGAATGTTTAAGATTTTTGCCAATAATTTTTTACTTGTAAGGTTAAAATGATTTAACAAAAAAGAAGGCAAAAAGTGAAAGTTTTTTCTTTATTACTTTTCAAAGTGTTCAGTTTACTATGGTCCACTTTTTACCTTAGTTCAGGTTGTTTTAACATACATACATTTACCAAGGACGGTGATAGTTTCAAGAGGGGGAGGCTGTTAAGTAAAGACTTAAATACATAAATAAATTTTTTATTTTATTCGATTTTATATTATATTTATTCCCTCAATGACAAAATTCTGAGACTTTAAAATTTTGACTTAAAAGAGTCATACTTAACGAGAATAGCCACCAAACAAAGCTGACTGTGTACTTCGCGGCTCTTGGAAGCGTCAAGTGACAACCGAAGCAAGCCGCCGATCCTAAAGATATGAAGTCAGCAAGTATTGGCCTCATAGCATGTAAGACAAAGGAGTTTTAACTGAAGCTTCAAGCAAGGTGCATTTTATTGCGCGGAGTTTTAGTTAGTATCCCGCTGCCGCTCATCGAGTGCAGAAATTTATTAATAGATTTAAAGTAACTTTTTCAAGAGTGATTTGATGTTCTTTTTTTTCTGTGTTTTTTTTTTGTACTAGCTATCTAAAGTAAATTAATACAAAATCAATAGTCAAAGAAGTTTAAATTATTTGAACCAACAGTTAATATTAGTCAATAATCCAGTTATTAAAGTCACCCAGTACTGGAAGAAACTACAGAAAAAAAAGCTACGTTAACACGATTCTTCTATGCAATTTTCTCTCGTTTCCTCCTTTCAATGAAGCAATCAGTGGAACAGTCTGTTAGGCTCACAGTCCGTCAGAGAGTGTGAGACCCAAATCTGCAAATATCCAGTTCTTACTGGGTGATGAAGTTAAATGATTACGATTATACTTCAAAAATATTTACTTTCTTACGATCAATATGTAGTTCTATAGAGCTTACAGTGGCTTCTTTGGCTACTGCGATGGGCACGGGTGATCATGGTTCGATTCATGACCAGTGCGACTTTTTCGAGTAAAAACCTGTGTGAATTTTTACGTTTGCTTGTCCACTGTGACATGATTCTCGTAAAGGGTGTGGGCGATCTTCTTGTGTTAACATAATTATTTTTATCTCAGTATTCTATATTTATCATATTTTAATTTCTATAAACTTTTTTACATTCAGACTCTTTGTTAACATATTATCCGTATTAATTTTTAAAATATTTACATTCTTATTTTCACAGTTATTTTTTGCACGGTTATATTGCACTACGATGTACTCTTATTTTTTCGTAAAATTTTTATACTTAGCTATAGCAACTATCTTTTTATACGTATAAAGATGGCTTCATATAGATCTACTGATTTTTATAAGTTTTATTTTTTTAAATCTTACTGGATTAATCTTTTGTAAACCAGAGTTCTGTTACAACTTTTGATACCATTCTATACTTTTTGTACACACATTGCAAATTTTTTACAAAAAATCATGTTGTTATGCAATCATATTGCATATGTTGTTGTTGATTTTTTTATCAATTTTATAATTCGCTTGTTTGAATATACCAGACAGGTCAATGTATCATTTTACGTATTATTATAAATAGTTGCATGTAGAAATATTCCTGTACTTATAAAGGTCTACCTCACAAAGTTTTTCGTCGTTTATCGACTGAATATCGGGTGAATTGCATGTGCGGTTAAACCAGGGGTCCAGAGATCCTGATCGGTCATAAGGGTAACTTAATAGTTTGAGAAATAATTCCATTTCGTTTGGTAGTTGATTTGATTGCGCCAATAAATTGGGGTGTTGTACAAAAGCCTTTGATATAATTTTAAGAAGTCTTAAACTTTTTTTAGAATGTAACTCTGTAATAATAAAGAAAAATAAAATCTTCGTGTACCAAAATAATAATTTATTTCGAAAAAATTGTACACTATAAATTTATAAATTGTTAATTTTCATGTCTTTTTTAATTTTATAACCTTGAAAATCCTTTTCCACATTTTGTACAAATTTGTTTAATTTCATATTTACTGTGAATTTTTATACGTCTGCTTAAATATGTTGACCTCTTATATTTTTGTTACAATGTATATAAGTAATTCATTTTTCTAAATTATGCTCCTTGTAATATCAAAAGAAATTTGGTATTAAAGTAAATACAATTGTACAAGTATCACAAACGTATAATAATTTTCGACGTGTCTTTTTATGCTCTATTAATTTTTCAGGATTCGAAAATTTTGTTTTTGCATACATTGTAGATAAATAAATCGTTTAAACTGAAACATAATTTCTCAATACAAGTTATTTTAAAATAATTGTGTAAGTTCAGTACTATATTTTTACCTCAACTGCATTGTGTGACCTTATTTATTTATTTACTCATCTATTCACCACATAATGTACATAATATAATAAGCTTACAATTTTACAATTTCACAATAATTTTTCTATTAAATAAGAAATATTAAATTCTCATCTAAGGAGAATCAATATTACAACTATAGATGCACAAGAAATCGGAAGGTTGATTGGTATACAAAACATGAATCAAAACAAAATACATATGAAAACTAAAGAAAAATCAACAGAAATAGTGATAAAAAGTGATAAGCAAGATGAAACTAACTAAATATTAAATAAAGTTAAATCAAAATTCAAAGAAAAAAATGTTTAAGTTGATTTCTTAAAAAAAGTTAAAAATGAAAGAATTATATTGAAGTGTGGAACAAATAATGAGATTGAAAGCCTAACAACTTGGTTATCTGGTTTTAAAAATGCAAAAGTTAATTAAAAAAAACTTAAAAACCCATTACTCAAAATTATTGGAGTGAATATGTCTGACATTTCAAATAAGGATGAGTTGAAAAAGGACTTAGTGCAAAAAATAATATTACAGAACAAGAAATTAAGGTAAACTACATTCATAAACCAAATACATAGGGATTCTCAAATATCATAGTAGAAGTGCAAAGCAATACAAATTCAATATTGATGAGTAAGAGATATGGATACGTTGGATGCTAAAGATGTAGAATTTTTGATGACTGTAACTTATTACATTGCGAAAAGTGCTGCACATACTTTCATAACAAGAATAAATGCAGTAATACGCCAAAGTGTGCAGTATGACCATGAAACTAATAAGTGCAGTGATACAGAGCAAAACTCTATACGATGTAGATTGTGCAGTATAGCAAATACAAAATATGATCTTCCTCTAGATGATAGACATAAAGTAAATAAAAATTAGGAAGTGCTCTTCTTACCAGAGACTACTTAATAGAGTAATCAAAGAAACTATCTATCCATTTAAACCTGATACTAAGTTTTTTTATCAAAAATGAGAAAATGAATAGTGTTAATTATCAAGAAATCAATAGAAAAGACATAACCTATGATAGTGTCTCAGAATACTTACATGAGACAACTGATGATAATTTACAAACGCTATTAATTAATTTTAGAAGTATACACTCTAATAAACTGAAACTTGAAGAATACATTAGTAAATTCAAACAGCAACCACACATTTTGATATGTACAGAGGCGGGGCTGGTTAAGAGTCCAGCATTCTTAGATATTGAACATTATAGTCATTACACCAATGAAAGTAACATTAATAAAGCTGATGGTGTCATAATATATGTCAAAAATAACGTCAAGCACACAATAGAGATCCAAGTACATAGTAAACTTAGAGCATTAACAGTATCAATCTGGCATTGAGAACAAACAATAAAGATAACGTGTATATACAGATATTTTGACTACAATGACACAGATTTTTTTCATGACTTAAATACGCTCCTACATACGAGAGCAAACGATAAGCACCACCTTGTCATAGGTGA